GCTTCTCAGTTAACGGTTAAATACAGATGTTTGTATGGTCGGTTTGGGCTTATGTGCTATGTTGATGACAGCCGGTGGGGCGTGTGGAGGTGTTGATGACAGCCGGTGGGGCGTGTGGAGGTGTTGATGACAGCCGGTGGGGCGTGTGGAGGTGTTGATGACAGCCGGTGGGGCGTGTGGAGGTGTTGATGACAGCCGGTGGGGCGTGTGGAGGTGCTGATGACAGCCGGTGGGGGTCCCGGGTATCGGGACACCGGTACCTATATATATATATATATATATATATATATATATATATATATATATATATATATATATATATATATATATATATATATATATATATATATATATATATATATATATATATATATATATATATACAAGAAGCTGACGAAGAGTTGGTGGGACGTCTGAGGCGGTGTAGTGGCCGGGCGTGAAGGTCACCGGAAGGTCAGGGGCGGAGCCTGGCATTAAGAGCAGAATATTTTAGCAGGTCCGGCGCTCTTCACTGACTCCTTCTCCGCCAACAACACCCGCACTGGTCCGTAACTCGTAAAAAAGACATACGAAGTAAAAAAATCAAAGTACTGAGTATATTTACACTTAGTACTGAGTGTACACCATTCAGGAGCTGAGTATACATGTAAAAACTTTAAAAGTAGAGTATATGAATAAGTTTACCTGCAGGCCTATTGGCTCATACGAGGCTCTTCATATTTATATTCACCCTAACTCATTGATATTCATGTTTAACCTACGCTTGGACAAGTTAATCGATCCCTGGTCTATTATGATACTCGTTAGTGTGTTCCATAAATCATCAATTCAATTTCCAACCCAGTTTTTGCCCAGGTCTTTTCTGAACCTAAACAAATCCAATTTGTATTCATTGTTTCGTGTTTTATTTAGTGTTGATATATTCAAAACCATCTTTATATCCCCTCTGGTAAATCCTTTTATTCATTTATATACTCCATTCATGTTAAGCCTTATTCTTCGTCTTTGCAGTGAAAAAAATGTAAATTCAACTCTTTTATTCTATATACATAAGATAGGTTTCTGAATCCTGTATTTACACAGCGGAGGGAGCTGGTCGACTTTCTTTCACTGCAGAAGTCAGCCTTAGGTAACTGTTTCGAGGATAAGTCAGGGATGATGAAGTTAGCATACGTGTTACAGCGTCTAAATGTACTAAACTTGAGCATGTAATCTGCATGTTAAATGTGCATGAAAATTTACTTCATTCGCGCAAAACGGTTCCCAGTGAGAAAGCAAACTCCAGGAAAGAGTCACTGAAATGATTTTCTGTATCACCAGTAATGTCGGACGTCCAGTGTGGACAGTATCACGTCCCTTATTATGTCCCATCTGCAAGGAAATCTCACGGACTGTTTACCCCCTGACTTCGATAACTTCCACCCGAGATGCACTAGAAACCCTTCAGCAGAGTAGGTGCACATCTTCATCTAAATTCGCAAGAGAACCTGATTGAAATGTCAGATGATGGAGGGAAGAAATTCAAATTCTCCGCCCTACCACTGTCAGAAGGTCGGCACAAGAAGTGAATAGTCAACCATGGCTAAAAAGGCTCTGAAATGCCTTTTGTCATAACTCAGTTCACTGAGGCAGGGTGTTCAACACTCAACGCACTAAACCCCAAGCACACAGCACTCCTACAGGTGGTCAACCAAGCACACAACACTCCTACAGGTGGACAACCAAGCACACAACACTCCTACAGGTGGTCAACCTAGCACACAACACTCCTACAGGTGGTCAACCAAGCACACAGCACTCCTACAGGTGGACAACCAAGCACACAACACTCCTACAGGTGGACAACCAAGCACACAACACTCCTACAGGTGGACAACCAAGCACACAACACTCCTACAGGTGGTCAACCAAGCACACAACACTCCTACAGGTGGACAACCAAGCACACAACACTCCTACAGGTGGACAACCAAGCACACAACACTCCTACAGGTGGACAACCAAGCACACAACACTCCTACAGGTGGTCAACCAAGCACACAGCACTCCTACAGGTGGTCAACCAAGCACACAGCACTCCTACAGGTGGTCAACCTAGCACACAGCACTCCTACAGGTGGACAACCAAGCACACAGCACTCCTACAGGTGGACAACCAAGCACACAACACTCCTACAGGTGGTCAACCAAGCACACAACACTCCTACCGGGGTTATGTGTTGTTAGTGTGTTTGGTGAGGCGTGTTTGGTGAGGTGTTAAAGTAAGAGGTTTTTGAGTGGGAGGCGATTGACGTCATCAGTGTAGGAGCCTCCATGCTCATTGTTTACATGTCCGTGTGTGACGTCATCTGTGTAGGAGCCTCCATGCTCATTGTTTACATGTCCGTGTGTGACGTCATCAGTGTAGGAGCCTCCATGCCCGTTGTTTACATGTCCGTGTGTGACGTCATCAGTGTAGGAGCCTCCATGCTCATTGTTTACATGTCCGTGTGTGACGTCATCAGTGTAGGAGCCTCCATGCCCGTTGTTTACATGTCCGTGTGTGACGTCATCAGTGTAGGAGCCTCCATGCCCGTTGTTTACATGTCCGTGTGTGACGTCATCAGTGTAGGAGCCTCCATGCCCGTTGTTTACATGTCCGTGTGTGACGTCATCAGTGTAGGAGCCTCCATGCTCATTGTTTACATGTCCGTGTGTGACGTCATCAGTGTAGGAGCCTCCATGCTCATTGTTTACATGTCCGTGTGTGACGTCATCAGTGTAGGAGCCTCCATGCCCGTTGTTTACCTTGCCAGAAAGTGACGTCACAACGGTGGACCAACTATTTCATCTAGTTCACGTAGGCGAAGACTTACGTCACGGGTGTATTATTCAGAGGGCTCGTTAGGGTGTTTACCTTCATGCCGCACCTCCCTCCACACCCTATCTATCCCACGGTCCTCCCTATTACCCCTCCCGCCGCTCCAAAAATAGTCTGATTAAAACCTAATGCTGTGTGTGTGTTCCTGCCCTAATGATATCTCGCAATTAATCACGTGTTGTAGCCAATTTATTAATTTGAAATTCTGATTATATATATATATATATATATATATATATATATATATATATATATATATATATATATATATATATATATATATATATATATATATATATATATATATATATATATATATATATATATATATGTCGTACCTAGTAGCCAGAACGCACTTCTCAGCCTACTATGCAAGGCCCGATTTGCCTAATAAGCCAAGTTTTCCTGAATTAACATATTTTCTCTAATTTTTTTCTTATGAAATGATAAAGCTACCCATTTCATTATGTATGAGGTCAATTGTTTTTTATTGGAGTTAAAATTAACGTAGATATATGACCGAACCTAACCAACCCTACCTAACCTAACCTAACCTATCTTTACAGGTTAGGTTAGGTTAGGTAGCCGAAAAAGTTAGGTTAGGTTAGGTTAGGTAGGTTAGGTAGTCGAAAAACAATTAAGTCATGAAAACTTGGCTTATTAGGCAAATTGGGCCTTGCATAGTAGGCTGAGAAGTGCGTTCTGGCTACTAGGTACGACATATATATATATATATATATATATATATATATATATATATATATATATATATATATATATATATATATATATATATATATATATATATGACAGTGTCAGACCACGGAGGAATTTCCTTAAGTACTTTCGTATATTAATACATCTTCAGAAGGAGTGGTTTTACTGGTCGAGTACTGGACATAAATAGGCAGGAGAGAATGGTGGAGTGAGGTGAGGTACAATACGTGGACACAAATATGAGCAGCAGAAAACTGCAGAGGGCCTATTGGCCCATCCGATGCAGCTCCTATTCATAACCACACACAGGCCCACACATGGTTAATTATAGCATAAGATAGTAAATATTTACAATGAATTAGTAAGACAAATGTGTTCCAATGATCCTACTCAAATCGCCCTTTAATTTATCTATTAAAAATGGATCTAAGTTATATAAACCATTGCTAACGTTCAAATTACTTTCTTTTGTGATCTGAATCAAAGCAGATTCAATTATGTTTCTGTTATAGGTGCTTTTACAATTCGTTATTGAAGAAGCCATCTCCCAATCAATTTGGTGAGCATCTTCTGACAAATGAACGAACAAATCATTAGACAATTGGCCATGTCTTACAACATAAATACTCTGTAAGAGTATTTATCTACTATCTTATGCTATGATTATCCGTGTGTGGGCCTGTGTGTGGTTATTGTGTATAGTGTTCTAAACACCTTTCTATTAACATTCTTAAACGTTATTCTTTATTAGTTGTAAGTACTATATGTTATTGATGTTACCCTATTTATGTCCCTGGAAATTGATTTGGTATAATGACTGGCAGAGCCTTCCAACCCTGAGAGCTAGCTTTTCCCAGACTATGATCTGCTTACTTGACTATTCCTTGTGCTTGTTAAATTCCTGCCGTGTTTGGTAGTCATTCTCGGTCCTAATTTGAATATGATTCAGAAACAAATGGGTTCAAGGACTACTAATGGTAATACGCAACCTCTTGCTTCTTTCCATTTGGTGGTCTTCATCAGTCTGTCTGCTTCTTGTCTGATAAGTATTTCTGAAAGTCACAAGTCACTGAAAGACTTGTCAGTGACTTTCTGACAATCGAGGAAAATACAATCTGCCCTTCTTTCCTCACTTAGTATTAGACGAGAGTTGGAATTTTATCTTGTTTCTGCTGCTCCTGCTCCCCCTCCCTCTTTCCAGCATTCCTCCCTCCCTCTTTCCAGCATTCCTCCCTCCCTCCCTCCCTCAGGTAGACTGCCAAGAGAGGAGAGAAAGCTTATGGGTGTAAGGATCATTTTTGCCTTTGATGGTTGACCAAAATGTTATTCATTCTTTAATATGGTCCCGGCCCTGATTCCCCTGTCTCCTGCCTCTTATATAATTAGCTATCCAGCGACACTTGACCATTTTGTTTTCGATCAGTTTCAGACTTCACCGCTCAACTCTCGAGGATCCACGAGCAGCACGCTGAAGAAATACAGCGACTGGTAGAAACCTTCAGGAAAAAAAATTCAGAACTTCGCAATGAACGGTAAGTAAAAATAACCTCTCAGTCTTGCAGTAAATGCTAACGAACGTGTGTGTGATCATTTATTTACTTTACTTACTTACGTTGGTGGAGGTTCGGCTCCAGCTCCTGGCTCAAAATCTTAACCTTGACTTGAGTTACATCGTCCTTGCTTTATCACACATGTATGGCGCCTGCCTATCAATCATTCTGGCTCTGACCTTCAGTTACGTTCACCAATAACACTCAAGCGTAATATTTTAAATATCCATCATATTTTTTCAAACTGGAGGTCATTTTGAGTAAAAACCTGAAAAGCTCAGTTTTCCCTTATGGTCAAATTTCAATTTAAAAATACTAAATGTAAAACTTCAAATATGTGCAATCACCTTTAATTGCAGTCACCAATAGCACTCAATGATAATATTTTAAATATCCATATTATTTTTCAAGCTGGTGGTTAATCTGGGTAAATGCTTAAAATGTCTGTTTTCCATTATTGTCAAATTTTCTTATAAAATTACTAAATTTAAAACTTCAAATACGTTCTAAAACTTTAAAACTTCACGTGCTACCTTCAGTAGCACTTCCCATATGAGTACAGAAATATAGCTTGTGTTTAATATTTGAAATATATTTATAAAAAAAAGCTATGAAAGTAATATAAATGAACTACCAATATATCAGTTGGCCCCACACCCGTCTTGTCACTTAACTTGCTAGAATTTGAAATAACAATATACACAAAACGTCTTGCAATCATAACATCTCTTCTTTAGTGTAAAGATAAATATATATACACATTTTCCTATCAAACACCCACTATAAATGTTTATCACCCAAGAAAAAAATCATCACGTTTGAACTTAGAAAATATATAAAACCTGGACTCTATATATTTAATATGCCTTATTATTTAAAATGACTGTTATCCTGCATGTAAGTCAGTTCTAACAGTTCTTAGCTGAACAATTTGCCATAATAAATCACCCTAGAACCTGGGACCTCCTTCCACACGTCTTTCTCCGTCCGCCATGTTTGGTCTAGTCCCTGATGACGCTTGCCCCAGAATACCACTTGGCCAACCAGCTTTTGGAAAGTTTCTGAGTACTCACATCTAATGATTCTCTATTGCAGCTAATATAAGAAAAAGGTTCACATTTAATTAACAAAAGGGTTTTATACATCCTTCTGGTTAGAAATAATTGCTATATATATTAAGGTACTACTTAGCTGGGCGGAGGAATAACGGAGACCTTTGGCCTGCCAGAACTCAGCTGACTTGACACGTCTTCCTACTATATTCGTAACTTTTTATATTCGTAACATAAGTTTTATATTTGTAACTGTTAGAAATTTATAACTATCATATACAGTATTTTTAATTACCATAAGGCAGCTACAGTCGAAATAAAATCTGGTATTATCTTAGGCTATCGTACGATACAACTGGTGTTCTTAAAATCAATAAGATTTACAAGTAACCTTCCCTTTAATAAGGCACTTACCTAGAGTCACTTTCAGTATGTGATACAGAGGACGCAAGTATAACACACAACTGACCAGTGACCGTCGGTGACGGGCAGGAGGCCTGACCTCACTCACATGCATGACATGTTCACTACCTGTTTGAATTATGCACAGGAAATTAAGGGTGATAATAGAATGGGTTCGAACAATCTAAGGATAACCCCGTTATGATGTAACTGCATTGAACTCGTTATATGTAGCACTTTTGTAATGAAGCGGTTTATTAATATATAGTGTTTGCTTTTACTCTCCAAAACTTTTTATTTTATATGAATGTTATGAATTGTACACTTAGTATACAGGTCCATAAGACCGCTCGACCCTTCCATTTTTGGTCGGTGGAAAATATTTTTTTCAAAATTAACGATACTAAGTTATGCCATTATATTGTAAAGCCAGAAATATCAACATCACGAAGTTCGCGGCCTGTCGCTCGTACGTTGTGATTAATAAGTAATGACTAAACAGTGCCTAATGACAGAGTAGTCCAGTGACGAGTAGAGTCTAAGCACATCTTTCGTGTTAATATTTTGAGCGCAGAATCTTATCCGTCGCACCACATAGGCATAATTTGTCTCTTACCGTAAGAGAAAATGGAAAATCAATTTCCTTGTGGAACAGACATAATATATTGCGACTATGTTAAATGTACCGACATATGACTTCTTCAATAATGTAGGACAACAGTACCACTAATTTCAATTTGTACTGTTTTGGCACCACTGTACCGCAAGTGGCAGCACCGTGTAATTGTTAGCACTACTGCTTACATGATTGGCATGTGGAGCGAAGTAAACGCTGAGTGTCAATCAATTAAACAATCAACAATCAATTCATTAATGGCGGACGGTGACCTGGAAAGAAGAGGCCGCTGGATAGCACAACCAGGTTCCCTGCCTGCCCAGAGAACAAATAAAAAATCATAAAATAAAAGTCTGGTGACCAGGTCATATTTCTTGGCGTGGCAGCGGCCGTGCTCGTGGTAGTCCATCTGTAACTCCAACCTCAGTACCGCCGCCTCTCAAATCTTATCACATTTCTAAACTCCATCGAACCGCAACTAGCTCTTCCTATCCCTAATTTCTCCCGTCCCAATACTCCCCCACTCTTCCACTAGCCCTACTTCCATCCCTCTCCCCGCCCCCTCGCCCAGCACGCCTACCCCCTAGCCGTCTTGGCACGGGTGCCTGGCCTCTACCCACGCATCGCTAACTAGCTTTTGATATATTCCCTCAAGCATCAGCCTCTGTGAAGCCGGGGTGGCGGCGGGGCCCCCAGGAGCTGCCTCAAGTGTTGCGTCACAGATTGGGTCTGGCGGATACTTTAGATTTTCTAAAATTGGGTTAGACAGGTACGTCACTGGCTTCTCTAGACTGGGCCAAATGGGTACTAAGGCTTCTCTAGACTGGCCAAGTGGGTACTAAGGCTTCTCTAGACTGGCCAAGTGGGTACTAAGGCTTCTCTCTATTGGGCCAAGTGGGTTCTAAGACTTCTCTGTTTTGGGCCAAGTGGGTACTAAAGCTTTCCTAGATTAGGTGTAGTGGATGTTAGAGTCTTCCCTGTCGTCCTTGTCTCCGTATGCCTCAGGCCACGACAGAATTACTTTCTTGAGAAGCTGTCACTACGACGCCCATGAGAGCTTTACTTGGAGTAGCCATGGGAGATGGAGAGTGGGAGTGGTTATGGGTGAGGGAGATGGGGGATTAGGGGGTTGGGGTAGGGTACGGTGGATGTGCACGCCCTGTTGAGTGTGTGAAACTTGACGAAGACGGTGTACCACACGTGGGTGTGGTGGTGGAGGGGGGGGGGAGACGACGGAGGGCTGTTGACCCCTTGATTGAACCATTGGGAAGGCTTCCCCACCACTACCCACTTACCTCCAATCACACCTCCAGCACGCCCCCCTCCACGGCAACACCACCAACACACATTCATGCCAAAAATGAACGGCAGAGTCCATTATTAGTTAATATAAAATATATAAAGATAATGAGAAATAAAGATAACTCAAAACATACCTAGTTATCAGAGTTGACAAAGCCAGAGTGGGACATCAGGACCCATTATTTATTTATTTATTGATATACTAGCTGTACCCGGCCACGCGTTGCTGTGGCTCAGTCTGGTTAAATGGAAAAGAAAGAAAAGAGAAAGAGTACGTTTCTAATATGTTTAATTTCACAATCCTTGTAGGTATACAATATTTTTTGTTGTTCCATTGTCTGTGGAGATATAGAGATTGTCTGGTTTGCCGACTCTAGAGCTCTCAATCCTCCCGCTCCCCCCTTCCTCCCCACCATTCCCCCCTGCCCTTGTTCCCTCATCCTCCCTACCATTCCCTACTCCCCCATCCCCTCCTCCTCCCCAACATTTCCCCTTCCCCGTTCCCTCATCCTCCCCATCATTCCCCACTCCCCCGTCCCCTCGTCCTCCCCACCATTTCCCCACATGAGAAACAAAATTAAAAAAAATGTTTTTACCTGTCACAGGTGTGACATCTATATACTAGGTATATAAAAACACGCTCGTATTCGAATGGAACGTTGTCAAAATTTCAAAGCTATCGGTGAAGAACTTTCTGAGACTTAAGAGTTGAACAAACGAGCATTTACATTTTTATTTATATAGATATATATATACACATACATACAAGAAGGTACATTGGATTTATGAGAGTACATAGCATTGATGTTTTAGCTAGTGGTTTTACATTCTTGTAAAGCCACTAGCACGCATAGCGTTTCGGGCAGATTATCTGGGAGATGTAAATAGGGAGCACAGGGTCGGAGGCTGTGTAAGCAGCTAGACACACACAACACAGTGTGATAACAGCGGACGGGACACACTTATAGCCATTAACTTCCCCTTTCTAAACACCCTCGTGCAACGTGGCCTAGTGAGGACGGGCCTGGGAGTAGGAGGGTGGGGTAGCAAGAGGTGTGGGGCTAGGGGGGTGGGTGGAGGTGAAGGGGAAGGCCGTAGATTGGGGGTTCTAGGGTTATCTTGAGATGATTTCGGGGCTTTTAGTGTCCCCGCGGCCCGGTCCTCGACCAGGCCTCCACCCCCAGAAAGCAGCCCGTGACAGCTGACTAACACCCAGGTACCTAATTTACTGCTAGGTAACAGGGGCATAGGGTGAAAGAAACTCTGCCCATTGTTTCTCGCCGGCGCCTGGGATCGAACCCAGGACCACAGGATCACAAGTCCCGCGTGCTGTCCGCTCGGCCGACCGGCTCCCCACAAGGAGGGTGGGGAGGTTATCTTGAGATGATTTCGGGGTTTAGCGTCCCCGCGGCCCGGTCCTCGACTAGGCCTCCTTTTTTGCTATGCATTCCAAGGAAGCAGCCCGTAGTAGCTGTCTAACTCCCAGGTGCCTATTTACTGCTAGGTGATCAGGTGTATCAGGGTGAAAGACACTCTGCTCATTTGTTCCCGCCTCCGCCGGGGATCGAACCCGGAACCTTAGGACTACGAATCCCGAACGCTGTTTACTC